TATTTATCATTCTCTTGCAGGGAGGGTCTTGTGTATATAAGCGCATGATGAGGCATTTGCTGGTTTCTGGACAGCCATGGAGAAACTGAAGATTCTGCTTGCTGTTGTCTTATTTCTGGGGACGGCCTCAGCTGCCTCTGTAAGTCTAAGTCAATTTTAATTACAATCATCCTTGATTTGCATAGTGTCATTAATCTACTCTGTGATTTAAAAGATAAATCACACATTTTGAGTGGATAAATGTAATAGAATGTGCTAATTGTTCAAATGCTATCCGCCTTCACTTATGAGTCCACCAAATCTTCTATCAACTTTATATAATTGCATAAGTTCAGCATAATCACATCTGCTTCAATTAAAAACAATTCAGATGAATGCAATTTCTCAAAATAACTTATTTTGTCCATCTACAAAATATAAAGAGTTTTTTTTCTTCTCAATACACTGTAAAAATATAAATAGTTTTTGTTCTTCTCAAAACACTGTAAAATGCTTTAAGGGGAAAGAAGGTTAAGGGATAGGAACAAATGTTTTCAAATCTGTCTAACCATTTTACAAAATGTTAGAATTGCAGTATTATTCACTAGTCATTTATTGTCTCTTTGTGGTCATTTTGTGTCTGTTGGTGGCCATTTTGTCTCTTTTGTGGTTATTTTGTGTCTCTGTATAGTCATGTTGTGTCTCTTTGTGGCTTGTTCAGTAATCCAACAATGTCATTGAAGGTGAAAGCTCTTGTATGTCGTGTCTCTAGCTTGGCGTGGTACAAACCGAAGGTGGCAGTGTTCAAGGAAGAAATATCCCCCTTGGTTTTTTCCGCTCTGTGGAAGTTTTCAAAGGAATTCCCTTCGCTGCCAAGCCTGGAACATTTGAGAAACCCCAACCTCACCCTGGCTGGGATGGTGCGTTCAAACCCTATCTGACCAAACTTTTTTAAATTATAATCTGTGAATAGCATAAACAGAAGCTAAGAAATCTCACTTAAATTCTCCTTTAATTACTGTAAAAAAATAACTAATATTGTTTCCATCCATAGGCGTCCTTAAGGCAACTAAGTTTGCCAAGAGATGTATCCAGAAAAGCGCGCTCCAGACTTCAAGTTTTGGTTCTGAAGACTGCCTTCACCTCAACATCTGGGTTCCTCACGGCCGACAAGGTAGCTTTTTTATTCTTTGATTTCTGGAATAATTGATACAGTTGTGCTTGTAAAAATGAAATAGCTTCTTCTTTCTTCCAAAGTGTCATCAGATCTCCCCGTCATGATTTGGATCTATGGAGGAGGCTTCTTGGCTGGTGGTTCAATGGGGGCAAACTTTCTCAACAACTATCTGTACAGCGGTCAGGAAATTGCAGACAAAGGCGGTGTCATCGTGGTGTCCGTGGGATACCGTGTGGGAACCCTGGGCTTCCTCAGTACTGGAGACTCTCGCTTACCTGGTGGGATAAGTTCTTTATATTCAGTAACTGCTGTAAAGTAGTGGGGTATCCTGGATGCCTGTCTGTCAGCAGACCTGTTGGCTTTATTATAATTATTTTGACTCAAAGTGTGTCATCACTGCAGGAAACTATGGTCTGTGGGACCAGCATGCTGCCATCGCATGGGTGAGCAGGAACATCCGCTCTTTTGGAGGAGACCCTAGTAACATCACCATCTTTGGAGAGTCAGCAGGTGCAGCTAGTGTTAGCTTCCAGGTGAGATGCTTAATAGGAACAATGAAGGGCTTGCCATGTTTCAGAATCAGAATCAGAATAACTTACAATTCAAGAGAAAGTTCACCAAAAATAAATAAATAAATGAAAATATTGGCCTCAGAGATGTCTGCCTTCTCTACAGTGTAATGGAAGTAGTACTCAGTACTTTTCAACATTCTTGTACTAGGTCACAAGTGCCAAGTAGGTCAAGGTCAAGGTCAAGGTTCTTTATTGTCAATCTGACATAGCTACAGAGTAATTATGCAGTTGAAAATCTTATGTCACAGGCTTCTCCAACAATGCAACATAATAACATAACATAATAACAATAAGAGCATGAGCAATACAAAAATAATAATAGTTATAAAAATGAAATAAAGTTATGATGTGGAATAGTGCAGTATGAGTCTATATACAAGTTATTGGAATGATATATATATATTAGGTATTAGATACATACTACTGAGTAGCAGTTGAATGTTTGATGTTGTTTCAACAGTTCAATAAGTAAGTACAACCTAAAAGTGTTTATTTCATCATTTCTCCATTACTGAAGCCAGGCAAATTGGCCAGCAAACATAACTACAAGTAATAATTGTATATTCTATGTTTGTATTCCTTCACAGACGCTCTCCCCCCACAACAAAGGGCTGTTCAAGAGAGCCATCTCCCAGAGCGGTGTTGCGTTCTGCCCCTGGGCTATGAACAGGAACCCACTCAAGACCGCAGAGGAGGTGTGTTTTTGTTTTATGTCAGACCATGAAAAAGTAAAAAAAAATACAACTGAATGTCCCCTCTTGGGATCAATACAATCTTATCTCATCTTGCATATTTTTCCTTGGAAGATTATAGAGATACAGACAAATAAAATCATTTTTTACTTCCAAAATTAGACATTTAATAACCCAAATGTTGCTGTTCACCCCACGTGGAAATTCCTGTGATCTTCTTTTTATATTGATTGAGTCTTAAAAATCCACATTAAATATACATTCTATGTTTTAAACATCTCGCTTTTTGCCTTTAAAAATGTTTCTGTATATGTTACTTGTCAACAATAGAAGTATAACATTAGCCAATTAAAATTAATATTGACCTTTTGGACGTCCAGTTGTTGATGGGTTTTATAGCAATTTTTGAATCTACATTGGTAGTTTACTTCAATTTTATTTTATTTCACCATCTTCATATTACAGTTATTGATTACATAGCCACACATACATGTTACATCTGAGCTGTGCATTCTAAGACACCTGGTTAGCCAGTGATTTTGAAAACACTATTACTTTTGTCAACAGGAGGCACCACACTCATCACAAAATAAATTGTCCTTGCGGTTGCTTTAAAACCTGCTTTACAACCATGTGCACAGGTTGCTGAGAAGGTCGGCTGCCCCATGGATGACTCGCTGGTGGCCTGTCTCAAATCAGTTGATGCTGCAACTCTCGTCATGGCTGCCCCCCTTCTCAAACTGGGCTCCCCTGACGGTACGCATTATCTTCTGTCCGACGTACTGCTTCATCTAGAATATAACAAGCAATGGAAATTCACAACTTATGATGTGCAATGTATCTTAGCACTTTAGCTATAATTGTTCTGTTGTAGTTTGCTGTAATTTGCCTCTTATGTCTTTGATCAGAATGTTTTTATCACTTTCTCTCAGCTCCCGGTGTGCTAAACATGGTTCTGGCTCCCGTTGTTGATGGAGACTTCCTCCCCGATCAGCCTGAAAACTTGTCCCACAACACTGCTGACATCGATTACCTCTCAGGGGTTAATAACATGGATGCACACCTGTTCACCTCCAAGGACATTTCCTCCATTGGGGACAAGAATCAAGAGACTTCTGTGTAAGGCTGATGATTTGTTTTTTTGTTTTGTTGGCCCTCAGAGTTATTTTACGAACAGAGCTCTCTACCTTATTCCACTGCAGAGAAGATGTGAAGAAGCTCCTTGCTGCTTATACCAAAGAGACAGGGCAAGCTGGTTTTGAGGTTGCCTTCACTGAATATTCATCCAACTGGGGATCAACACCCACCCAGACCACCATTAAGAAAGCTGGTGTAGACATTGGGACTGACTTCCTCTTCCTGGTTCCTGCACAGACTGCCATCTACCTGCATGCAGCTAACGCCAGGTCAGGCCAACTGCTTCATCCCCTAACCCTAATCTTAACCCTAACCCTCCTTAACATTTTTTGTTCTAATAGTACTTTAGATCTTCATTGGACAACTTCCACTAAACCTAAACACCATTTCTTGAAGAGCAAGATTGCTGCTATTATTCAGATCTTGCTGTTCTCATTAACTGTTTGTTCTTATACCTATGAGTTGACGCACTATAAATTGTAAGCGTTCTGTTATGTCTTTGGAAGTTGGGAGCAAAGTTTGAAACTGGCATTGTCATATTTTTTGGACAACAGTAATGTCTGACAGATACAACACACTGTGATGTCATTACCAGGTCTGGCCGTACCTTCTCCTACCTGCTGTCCGAGCCCAGTTTATTGGCCGGACCGGGAAAACCCTACAATGACTGGGTGGGGGCCGACCATATGGATGACCTGCAGTACGTGTTTGGAAAACCCTTCACCACACCAAAGGCTTATGGGGACCGGCACAGAGACCTGTCTGGCTACATTATCGCCTACTGGACTAACTTCGCCAGAACTGGGTAAATGCACATGCAACACAAATTTGAACAGCTTGAGGATTATCTTGCTACGAAATGTATCATCATGTGTGTTGCTTTTGCTACTTTTTTCTTTCTTTTTTTAAACAGAAACCCTAACAAAGGAAACATGCAGGTTCCTGTGAACTGGCCTGAGTTCACCAGCACTGGACACCAGTTCCTGGACATCCATGCTAAGATGAATGAGAGCTCTGTTGGACAGGAAATGAGGCTACGTTTTGTTCACCTTTGGACCAGCACCCTTCCAAACCTCCAATCACGTGGTATCACAGATGCTCAGTGATGAATTTGCATTCACTGCATTTAAAATGTATCAATTATACAATAAATCTAATGAGTGATAAATAAACCACTCAGGAGCTTATTAAACGTTTCATTTTTAATGACAAACTTTACACATAAAGAATAAATGATTAATCTTTGCACAACCTCCAACCCACATAATTTGAAGGCCTTTTAAACATACTTTGATCATCAGCCATCAATTTGACATCCTATAAATACTGTCTAAATAAGGTATGTAGTTCAATGCGAGTAAAAAGTCACTTTAGTCTATACTGTACATTACCCATCACAGACAAGGAACACAACAAAACCATGAGAGCAGCGAAGGGCTTAAGATGCTGATTAAAAACAGGTGAGTAGATGGTAAAAAAAAAAGGAGGAAAACACAGCAAACTCCAAAAACTCTACAACCTAGTCCACTTAATTTTTCACAAGATGTTTGAGCAGACAGTGTGCCACATGAGAGTGATTACAAGGCCTTCCCCAAATCTGACAGGGAGATTAATATCATATTTTGTTTAAATTGTACCCTGTAGTGGTTGTTCCTCAGTCTTCTGTAACCTTGAACAATTAAAACAAGAGGGAGAGATTGCAGCATCTATAGGTCCAATAAAACATTGATGACGAACTAGAGACCTATTTATCAACTCTACAAGATGATTATATGGTTTAAAAACAGTATACGAATGTGCCTTAGAAATCACAATCATGTCCTGTTGTTTTTCTCTTTAGCTGTGCTCACTCCCATGTGGGGCAGATGCTCTTCCCTGCAGGAAGAAATCTGTACAACACTTGCAGCTGTTAACCACACTGATGACCTTCAGTAGCGTTTGGAAAGCCTTTACACACCAGGCCGATATCTTAAATCATTGCAGGATTTAGTACTGTCCCAACAACTGCAGAACCCTGTAGAATTCTGCAAACCACACCAATCAACATCACCTAATCAGTAAATCAGACCCTTTTAAACCCTAGCTAAACAGATAGGCCTAATAAGAAGCCTCATTTTATATGGCATTTTTCTTGGTTATGTCCAATGCCTGTCAACCCGCACTTAGGCTTGTGCAAAGACTACAGAGCTCCAATAACTCTCACTAAATAAATGCAAGAAGCCACTTTTACATAAGAGTGCAGTTAAGAGCATTACCGATTACAGCCTACAAGAGGGCGCATGCAGCTCAGGAGTCAGGCTTTGTCACATTACAGGTTAATTATACAGGCTGACCAAAATGGCTAAGAACACATTCAACTTATGAAATATATAAATAATAAAAAACATGTGAATTAAAAAAGATAAAGCATACAACTTATGCTTAGTAATACCAATTAACATGATTATAAGCATACTACAACATTGCCCTATACACCTTATTTCATACACGTGACTTGAATGACAATGACATTACACTCGAAGGTATGTGAACACCCATGGCTGGTTTTTTATGGTTTGACATCTCAAGAATACAGGATCGTCTTCCTATCTTTGACATTAACTTTTTAATGTAAATATTTGTGTTACATGAGGCCCATTCAGAACATTAAATTCATGGTATCAATGTTACTCTCATGGTTTGACAGGGAAAGTATGATCACTTATGCAGTCTGGTCTGAAAGTATGTGTATGTGTAACAAGTGAAAGTAAAAAAACGAAAGGCCACAGGACCAGACAATCTCAGTGCTTTTATTTTGAAAACTTTAGCAACCCAACTGATCTGATCTTCAGTAATCTAATTAGCAAGTCTAAATCCAGGCAGGCTGATAGCAGCAGAGACAAAAGAGGGGGCGGCCAAATCAAAATTAAACTCAATGCCAACACTAGGTGTGGCTCTGTCAGATGAAACAAACTGACAGTGATATACCAGCAGAGACAGGACCTGCAGTAAGAGCATGTCCCCTGGGAAGTTGGCAGTTATTTTGGGGCTTGGAGTAGCTGCGGTGCTTATCATACAAAGTGGAGACCCGCTGGACTCCTGGTACCCGGTATGGCGGGAAACAGGGCTGCTCGCACGGGCTGTGGTGTGCCTCATCGCCGGGGCTTCCCTCTTCACCCTCGGCTGGCTGCACGGGTTCCTCTTCGGTCCCCTGGAGCTGCTGAGGGGGCCGGACGATGTGGGATACATAGTCGAGAACGGTCGCTCGAAAGCCCAGGCTGCAAACGAGGTGCGCCGCAGGAGGAGAACCGGAGACCTGCCCCCGGTGTATCCGAACGGCTGGTACCGGGTGCTGGACTCACACATGCTGCGGAGGGGAGAGGTCAGGAGTGTCACGGTGCTAGGTAGGCTGGAAGAATTACTGCTGGTCACATAATAAATAGGCCACTTAAGAGTAGTGTAAAAACAGATGGGCTATAACCACGAATCTTCTTCATTAGGTTACTTTCATTAAGCAATTTCTATGTTTGAACATGCTAATTGGATTTATCTAATTGAATACCTTTTTTGCAACAGAAGTCTGAGATCAAGTCAAGTTCAAAATGTTTGAATCAACACCTTTTGAGAGGGAATTTGAAATATCTCTTTGTATCATTCCATAAATCTGATAAGAAACATAAAAAACAATACAAATCTTGCCATATTTGTAGTTATTAATTTTACAATATAAGCCTACAAAGTTAAGATATAATAATAAATCAGGCTACATATCATATAGGAACAAACCCTTCTGTTAACATCTTTAGTAGATGGGAATGAAACTTGAAAGTGTGTAAGTGACTGATACACAAGTTATGAAAAGCTAGATTGCTCAAACTCTGAAAAAAGACGGTCAGTGTATGTTTTGGTCATTGGATTTTCTTTTCACAAATGGAAATTCAAAAACAAAAAACGACTGGATATTTGATTTTCGTTTTCAAATTGAAAAACCAAAATTGAAATACAAGGCGTTTTTCTTTATCACGGTCAAAAGGGGATTTACTAAACTTAAAAAACGGGATGATTTTCATTTTCTACTTCTCAAAACAAAAAATTAAATCACTAGAAAACAGAAACAAAAAAAACCCCCCGTTTTTTCATATTCTGCTACCGGAAGTTACCTTACAAAATAAGAGCGCAGACGAAACTCACGGAAGTGATTTCAAAACAAAAGCACTCGTAGGCTATGCTAAAATCACACTTTGAATCACTACAGTATCCTGTTGAAGGAACTGTGATTATTATAAACAAGGAGAATTTAGCGATCACAATGAAAACGGCCAAGACACACTTTGAGCCCAGAAAATGAATGTTATAAAGGGCTGTAAATATAATAGGCCTATTTCTAAAATGGACAACATTGTTAGGAGATTTCAACTATACAGCGATTCTGCACTGCGGTCAACTCAGCCGTCTGGGTGACCAGATGTCCCGCTTTGTGCGGTATTGCACAGCATTTTCACGACTTTTGGTGCGTCCCGCAAATTGAGACGATGTCCCGCATATTTCATTTTGATTGGCTAAAACGCTTTTCTAAAATCTGATTTATGACATGAATCAGATGCGGAGAAAGGCCGGCTCGGTTCGCTGACGGCCGGCACCGCCCTTTATTATTATATGTTTTAAACTTTATATATACAGTCTATGGTTTTAAACGGCATCATGTAAGTTGCGCTGACAGGCGACAGAGGTTCACAGTGTACCCCCCCCGCTGACAGTTCACGAGCGTCCATAGTGTCTCTCCACCCCCGTTGACAGTTCATGCGTCGACATTGCATTTACATGTCCCACGGGCCACATTGTCCCACACAAACATACTCTAGAGCAGAAGTGGCTTGACACAGTAAAATTACTTCAATGTATTGTTAGTAGTAATATCCTTCAGCAAAGTAACACACTCTGTCACTCTGGTTGCCCTCTTATGATGCTGCTGTCTTTTAATATATAACTATTTTTCAGCCGCTAATTCGTTCCTCGCAGATTCTTCAGTCTCATCAGCCTCATCCTTCCATCAGTCCCAGTCAACGCTCAAAGTGTGTCTTGGCCGTTTTCATTGTGATCGCTAAATTCCCCTTGTTTATAATAATCACAGTTCCTTCAACAGGATACTGAAGTGATTCAAAGTGTGATTTTAGCATAGCCTACGAGTGCTTTTGTTTTGAAATCACTTCCGTGAGTTTCGTCTGCGCTCTTATTTTGTAAGGTAACTTCCGGTAGCAGAATATGAAAAAACGGGTTTTTGTTTTGTTTCTGTTTTCTAGTGATTTAATTTTTTGTTTTGAGAAGTAGAAAATGAAAATCATCCCGTTTTTTAAGTTCAGTAAATCCCTTTTTGACCATGATAAAGAAAAACACCTTGTATTTCAATTTTGTTTTTTGAATTTTAAAACGAAAATCAAATATCCAGTCGTTTTTTGTTTTTGAATATCCATTTGTGAAAAGAAAATCCAATGACCAAAACATACACTGACCAAAGACTAGCTTCCATATCATTATAGTGTGTGATGCTTTTAAATTACATGTAGATGCAGTAAAAACATGACCACAAGTGGCTAACCATCATCGAACACAATTGACTAGAATTAAGAGGTTCTCCTACACCAACATTTTGGACGGAGATCAGGTAAGATGAGATAGATCAGACGTGTCAAACTCAAGGCCCGCGGGCCAAATGTGGCCCGCCACGTCATTTGATGTGGCCCGCGAGAGCTCGCAAAGAATATAAACAGTTTATTATACGGTTACATGCCGTTTAAGCACGTTGCCCATAAACTGCATGTCCCAAAATGCATTTCGTTTTGTGACGTGCGCACTGAAGCGACTTCCTATCAGCAGCGGCACTCTGAGGCGGTGAGTGACCAGTGTGTGACTGTGAGTAACACAGAGTTGAAGGAACATAATTTACGGCGGCACAGAGACACCAAACACGGAGCAAAGTCTGCTTCAGCAACCGAGACAAGCAACTCCAGTCCCAGAACAAACAGACAGAATGACCCGCTCTTTAAGAATCAGTCGGTGTTGCTGCGGCTCAGAGACACACATGGATTTATTATGTTTTAGAAAAACTCGCGTTACGGTTATTTCCGGTTTCTGGTTGATTAAAATATATGAGGTCTTGGCTTGCAGAGTATGAACGTCTTTTTGCTATATTCAGACGATAAATACTTATAAATACTTGTGTAAAGTTTGTAAAGGAAGGAGGAAAACTTCCGCGCGATCCCTGTCCCCTCTCACTCTGTTCCTCCTCATCACGCCGCCGCCCCCCCCCCCACTCACTGCTTACTGAAATAGTGAGTGACAGGTGATAGTAACACAGCAGGATCTGGGACAGGGGGTTCTCAAAGTCTTGGCTTTCAGACTATTAAAATATTATTGCTGAATTCAAATGAAATATAGCCTACTTAAATAATGCTTGATATACAAAAGAAAAATACTTTATTATTCACAAAAAATAGATTTCACAAACATTGTATCTCTTTTTGATAAGATATGATGAGGCTAACTACATTTCATAAATTCATGGGATTTATGTAACAGTAAGAGAGTGAAATGTTAGTCTGAGCCCACATACAGTATTTTTGTGTCTACGTGCACAATACATTAATGCACAACCATGTGCTTTCAGACGTAGTTATTGCCAAAACCAATAATACTCCAATGCAGAGGCAATATTGTTATACAGTATAAAACATTATTTTGATATTTATATATGTATATTTATATAGTGTTAAAATTACAACCGGCCCTTTGAGGGCAACCATAATGCTGATGTGGCCCGCGATGAAATTGAGTTTGACACCCCTGAGATAGATACATGCCTGGGCTCAGCAGTGGGGCAGGTTATGAATATGCTGACACTGCCCCCTTTTTACATGAGGCATCAGAGATGTGAAATGCAGACGGGTGTGTTTACCCGGTGTGAACCCAGAGAGGAAATCACTTCACAACAGTGACATTTTTACATTGCATTTAACCCATAGTTGTGGAAAGATACTAAAAAGCGCCCTTATAATTATTTTACTTCAATTGTAATCTTAATTTTTAATGATTATGATTCATTACCTAAAGTAAATTGTAAGAGGTGCAATTGTCAATACAGAAAATTCACCTTTTCTTATTTGAAAAAAAAAAAAGCTAATTTAAAGTTCTTTGAACTTTATTGCATTTCTACCACTCAGATATCTGTCTGTTCACCTGGTTTCTGTTGTCAGATAGCTTTGTATTGCGCCAAGTTGCCAGGATATGCATGGAGACAAGCTCATATTACACCGTTTTTTAGATTTTAAAGTATACATCCAGAACACAATGACTTACCATCTTTGTTAGTGTAGTTAAGCGATCCGGTTCCAAGTGTCGTGGAAACGGGAGTGTTTCATAATGGAAGCAACGTGACATCTTACAATTATTTGTATTATAAATCAATTTGCTGATTTCTGAATAATGTGTTTCTGTACTCATGTTTTCACTTAGGCCACAAAACAACTTGTGTTTTGCTGATGAAATGCTTTACTGTGGAGCTGCTGCAGTATCATTAGCATTTCAGTAACACAATAATGCCTTTTTTCAGAGAATGTAGCCACAGATCGTAATACTGCAAATATTTGAATACTAAAATACTATCATCAGTAAGCCATTGGTTCAATCACTATTGTTTTACCTCATTAATTAGAGAAAACCCATGTTCAGACCAAGGATTGAGTTCTTTAAATATTCTCTGATTTGCTTAGATTTGGTTTCACTCTAAAACAATAATTGTTCTACTTTTGGCTGTCTGCTTGGCAACTGCTCTCTTTGCTGTAATAACAGTAGATCCAGTGTATCCAGCTGGACCTGATGCCAGCAGGATGGTCTTAATTCAGCCTTACCTGTCCAACAGTGACTGAGTGACATGTTAAGTTTTATTTTATTTACTCCTTTTTCAATAGCCTTTTTTTTGTCAGCTTTTCTGACATTTGGGACGTTTTAGAAAAATGAGTCTTCTTCATATTTAGTGTTGCTGTAGATCTCTTTCCTTACCCACTCCTACATCAGGGGGAGGAGGCTGAATGGGATGGGTTAGAGGGGGTTTTGGGTGTGAAGGAGGTAGATATTGTGTTGAGGATAGAGGGCGTGGGGCTGGAGACTCTTTCGATCCTATTGAATTCTCCCATGATCTAAATCTTCCCTAGGTTGGGTTCCTGTTCGATTCCTCTTGTCGCTTGTTTTTTCATCAGAAACAGATCTTTGACCCAGATGTAAAATATAAAACCTCCCATACCTTCTTGGTATGCATAAACTCTGTTACAAAGTAAATGTGTTTCCAACAACGATACCTATGTGATTTATTTTAGAATATTTTCATTGACACACCTTATTTAAAACATACGTGTTTCAGATGTGTTTTAGATGAGCTATTCCTGTGTTGCTATGCGGTGGGACTGTTTGATCTCTTCAGAGAGTTTCTTTGCGTTTGAATTCAAAACGGTTTCAAAGAGGGTGTGGAGCTTTCATGCTTCTGTCACATCACCCACCATAAATAAACAAACAGTATATGAAAGGTTTCCTACCCGAAAAACATATCCACTAGTGAAAAGAGACACCTGCTCTTGCAAAGTGGATTAGCATACAGCTTCGCTTAAAATAATCGTATATTTTATCCAATAATCTATAAAACTGAGAAAAAGTAGCACATCCCACATTTGAGAAGCTGTTACCAGATAATTCACTTTTAGACCCAATCATTTAAAGTCAACTCTGTTTCTGATGATGTTTTAATGTGCAGTGGTTATGTCAATAAAGTAGTCTTTATTTACAACAGGAGTTGCTCAGTATCATGACGGTTAATCTTCTGACGCAAGAATGAATTGTCATGCTTTTGAAAAAGAGAATATACATTTCAATAGATTTAGGATTTAAAACAACACAAACAAATAACAAATATGTAAATTGACATGTGAAAACTTTAATATTGATGCACATTTTAAGGATCCTGATCATTTGTTGACTTGTTGGCTTCTCTATATCAGATTTTCAGCAAACACTAGTGTAACACACCGGTTTTTAAAGCTACACACTAAATCTGTGATGCAGATCAACTGTTACCAAGGTGGAGATAATGGACTCCTATAAAACAGTAATTATACAGTACAGGCTCTGTATTAGACAACCTCTTAGTCCATGATGCTTAATATAAAGTAAATAATTGTACATGCTCTGGTCCTCTTCAACCCACCTTGTCCCTTTCAGTACCCCCCCTCCAATGTGCTGCTCCATATTCATTTGTACAGGATCCAAAATTAGCTCCCCCAGGATCTGCATCCTGCTGTGAATGACTGCAGCACCTTGCTCTTAACCTTTCTGTGCAGTCAGCCATTTGCATCATGTATTAAATTCCGCTTATTTTGCCCTTTGCTCCTCCTATACATTGCGCTGTGGTTCAGTTCTGCCAGAGGGTTACTCTTGACCAAACTCACTCGGCCTGAGCTAATCTGGGAGAAATCTGAAGACTGTAGGTCAGCCGAGGTTAAGGCAAAAACAGTTGACACAAGAGGAAGAGATCGTAACACGCTGTGTGACTGTGCACAGATTAATCTGAGCACGCACCGTGCTAAATCCATCCTTGTAGCCAAATTTGACGTAACATTTAGCTAACAGTTGAATGAGGGTAGCAATAGGCAAAATAAGCATTTGAAGTGACTTCAATTAATTATGTTTAAAGCCACTATGTATTGAATTTGAAAATCAATGCACACCTAGCCCAACCAACACGTTGTACTATAATAGTTGAATTTGCTACAGACAGAACAAAAGCCATTTTAATAATTACACACATTTTTCAATTCTACTCGGGGGTTTTCATTATTGATGAAGCCATTTTTTAAATTGCCAACAAGGCACACATAATTTAAAAAATCCAATCACTGCAACACTTCATTCAGAATTTGGCTGCGCTCTATATATTTCAAAAATAAAATGTATTCGGGGCCAGTTCGCTTGTGACAGCCAATTCTATCATTTTAAAACAGCAGTCGCTGCGTGCCTCTGAGGTTTGCCTCCACACAGTGACAAAGCAAGTCTACACTATCTCTGTTTGCCAGTCGCTTCTAAAAGAACAGGCTCAATAAAAATAATTAGGGTAACCTTGTTATAAGAGTCTTTACATATATTGCCCGTACAGTTGCTTTTGCCTGTCCTCTAATTAACCTCCTCTCATTAATTTGCCCAAGGAGTTATCTTTTATATAGCCTCATCCATACTATACGTCTTTGAAATAATTTATACTTAACTTCATACCATCGTAGGGTTGGGCAATATGTTTTATATATTTTTGTATATGTCCAATATATTAGTAAACCATTAAATTAGCTAAATAAAATGACAAAAATCGCCAAAAAATCAACAATCGTAAAAATATTTGCACAATCCTATAACCTACATCTTATAACATTACCATTGAATTCTAATTAGTGGCTGCTCATTCATTGAATTGTGTGTCCCTTCCCCCATGAATGGCTGTAGGTGAGCAGGTGGCAGTGTTTCGGGGCCAGGATGGCGAGGCCTACGTTGTCGATGCCTACTGCCCTCACCTGGGGGCCAACCTGGCTGTGGGGGGGCAGGTGGTGGGGAACTGCATCGAGTGCCCGTTTCATGGATGGCAGTTTCGGGGAACGGATGGCAAGTGTGTGAAGATCCCCTACGCAGAAAAAGGTAGGAAATTATTTATCATACAAGAAACATGTTTTGTGGATAATAAAAATTGACTTGCAATGTCTCAGGGCCTTAATTGGTTCTATTTTAGCTTTCATTATCTTAAAATAAAATGCATTTCATTTAACCATGCATTACTGTTTCTAGAAAGAATAATAGTTAAAGGCCTTGCAATTGGGTAGTGCTACATGTCCTGAGGGGGGTGCTATAGGACATCCTGAGACAGACGTCTTATGTCTAACCCTTACATTTTGGTCTGTGTGCTGGGTGTAAAATCTAAGAAATTGGGCCTACAGTTAGTGCTAGCAGAAAGGTTGAGGGACCCAAACAAATATCTAGATTCATATGGGTATTTTTGCATTTAATTTACAGATTTAGAGATCACATGTTGATTAAAGAGACTATTTGGCTTTGGTTTGTCGTTCAGTGCCAGAGTTTGCCAAGGTGCGCATCTGGCCCAGCTGTGAGCTCAACGGGCAGGTTCTGGTTTGGTTTCACTGCGACGGAGAAGATCCTCAGTGGCTGGTCCCAGAGCAGCAGGAAATCACAACGGGCGAGTGGGTGTACCGGGGGAGAACTGAACACTTCATCAACGCTCACATACAAGTAGGTGCATACAGTATGTGGGTGGATGTGTTGTTACTTAAATGAATAGGATTTAGAGTTTTTTAAATAGAAACTAATTTATTAGGTGTTTTTCTTTCACCTAGGTGTCTCGACTGTTTACTTGACGATTCTACATTTTATATTTTGTTGATTTGATTAGATTTATTTCGAATGTGTAAAACAATAATACAAAAATGTAATTATTATACAATACAAAGTTAAGCAGTGTCAAATTGATATGCAAAAATATTACTGATTCTAAGTTATGTATAAACAAATAATCTACTTAATTACACATCCGAAAAGGGGTGGGAAGAAGTTTACACTTATTTAATCCCACCGACAAAATTATTAACAAATATATATATGTATATATATATATTTTTCTTTTTATTATATAAATGATAAATTACATATAATGACATATATGACATATAAATGAAATATAAAATTCCCATGGCAGAGAAGGGGCTTTTCTTCTTTAGAATGGTTCATGGTTTTCCAACTGTAGGAGATTCCTGAAAATGCAGCAGACATCGCTCACCTCGGTCACCTTCACACGCCGGCCATTGTCAGTGGAGTAGATCTGCGATACACCAACAGCAAAACCTGGGAATTCGTGCGGCATGACTGGAAGGTAAGGATCTCACACCTTTAACGATCTTCAAAGTTTTAAGGATGCCACATCACTTCTAAACATTCAAAAGTGTTCGACACACTCTTCAATCGTGTTGATGCTACTCAGACTGTACAGGATACATTTCTTTTAGGAGGGTGAATTACTTCTGAATGGTGTATTTCTGTGTTTAAAGGCCATTGTGTTTACTGTGGCTACATTTATGTGTGTGTTTATTCAAGGTTCAATGGGAGCCAGAGGCAGAGCCCAACAAGCATTGTTCTCAGATGTTGGTGAAACATGCTCTTACTGTCTTTGGAAGCACCTGGCATCTGCTGGATGTCTGTGTTTTGGCCAGACAGGTACAGTACAAACATTTTAATTCTACTGACAGCATAATCATTAAACCTCTCAGCGATTTGATTGATTATGTTTTAGATAAAAACATCTACTGAACTGCACCTCAACTCAAGAAAACAAAACTGAGATTCCTTAAATTTAAGTGTTCGTGAAAAGTGCCCAAAGGACATGAACAGTGCGTGTTATAACAAAATGTAAAACATTAGTGGCCTGAATACCAAATAAGTATTGAAAATGCTTTAGTTTAGCATGTAACAATAGCAATTACTATGCAGTCTGTGCCTTTAATGTATCTTGTTTACTCAGTTGCAATGATCACACATGTGTTCCAGGTGGGTCCAGGAGTGGTGTTTCTGCTGATTGAACACAGTTTCTTGGGCCGGGGTGTTATCCTGCAGTGTGTGACTCCAGTGGAGCCTCTGTTGCAGTTTGTCACTCACACCATCTTCTACCAGTCAAACATCCCTCCTCTGGTGCCCAAATTCATCCTCAAAGCGGAGTCCATTCAGGTACAGCACACACTCACCTCTAACTATGAATGCTATATAGTCGGTAATGTGCTCTATGCTGCTATATTATAAGAGTCTTGGAGTACACATCAAATCTAACGACATGGCTGAGCTGCATGAATGATGTGCATTTAGAATATTGTTAATACGTTTATAGTTGGGATGTCAATAATGTGATGTGATCAGTGTGTGCTCTTGCCTCTCACTCCGCCTATGGTTTAATCCTGCCTCGTCATTGCCACCAAAAGTAACACCACACAATAACAGAGAAAGGTGTAAATAGCCCTCATTAAACTCGATAATTAGCTGTGTAGTGAAGTGAAAAAACACAGTCATGGTTTTAAATGAAAGGAAAACTAGTAAGTTGGTGATTGTGTTTGCACCTCAAAAGACAACTGAATACATGACCTGACTTGAACATTGAAAATGTAATTCTTCCTCCTACACAAAGCTGATTCAAAGCCCTCTTCAGTGGGGGAGTCATTAGCATTTTAGCACAAAGATTTTTTTTTTGTCTTTGCTGTTCAGATAAGCAAAATGATGTCACCTTAAAAGGGCCATATTGTGCTTTTTGGGGTTTTACCTGTCCTGTAGTGTGTTGTATGGTTTTTTGTGCATGTAAATGGTCTGCAAAGGCTCAAATCTGAACGCTCCCTCCAGAGGGAAGCTCCCTCCTTTGTTTACTTAAAGAGGACCTATCATGCAAAATGCACTTTTGTACGTCTTTTATACATGAATATGTGTCCCCGGTGTTCCAGGGAACTCACCAAGTGTCAGAAAACACAACCCTCTCTATTTTCCTCCATACCTAAATCTCTAAAAAAGGGGCTGCAACGGATCTGATAAAAACTGATCCAGATTTGAACACTGTTCTGACGTCAGGACGGTGGCGCTACGGCTATTGGGCCAACTCCACCAATCAGGAGGAGACAGCCACGGCCATTGCCGTTCGAAAGCGCTGGAGACGCTGTAGTACATATGCCAGGCCAGTAGGTGGTGCTGTTCTCACTGAATCTGCCCTTGCAAATCCAGAGCTAAAAAATGTCAAATTGAGCAAAATGAGGCATGGCTAAAATGCATGATCTGTTTGGTATTTTGAGAAAAAAAAAGTATAAATATGCCTAATATAGGTATGGTCCTACACTATATTATTCAAATATAGCATGATAGGTCCACTTTAAGGGATCAGTAGATGCTTTACTGTAGTTCGGTGGTTATCAGTTGATATTTTTCTATACTAATGCAATATGAGAGGAGAACAGATAAAACAATATATTTGTATTTAACAAAAAGCCATACTCAATTGTTAATTGCAAGCAACTTTAAATCATGAGAAGAAATATATATAATGTTTTAATCTTGCAACAAACGTTGTCGTGTGGTATTCACACAGCACAATTTTGGAGGACATTTCAAGAGGTGGGCTGAAAGGCCAAATCCTAGCAGCTGATGGAGTAACTGTGGCGTGACATTTAATCATCAACACTTCAAACAGAAATCCCTGCTGATAAATTATAATAAATCAAATCCTGCAATGAGACAGGAAACAATTACAGATGGCTGTCTTGTCATTATGTGAAAGTGAGAGTCTGTTCCGTTTCAAATCTCCTGAAAATGTGCCACCTGCTGATTATCAAGTGCTAGGAGCCAACACCAACATGTTCCTAATATGACGTATGAAGTTATCAAACAAACCTGTAACTACTGGTCAAACAAATTGAGTCTTGCGTTATCCTGGCAAAATGTGTATTCTGGAGACAGCCATTGTAGCAGGAACTACCACAGAGGAGGGTTTACAGTACTAAGATGGGTGTCTATTTTTCTCTCTGTGGACATAGTTTTGTCTTTACGATGTATCTCAATTGTACGAGAAAATGTCAGAAAACTTTACAGGTTGGTAGTTAAATCAAAACGTAGGGTTTGTTTAAAAATGAGTGTGGTCTGGGTAAGGTGACAAGAAGTAGGGTGAAAGGACGTTGGGAAGATTGAATGTAGTTTCATTCTTAATCATAGTTAAAGGGGACCTATCATGCAAAATGCACTTTTGTACGTCTTTTATACATGAATATGTGTCCCCGGTGTTCCAGGGAACTCACCAAGTGTCAGAAAACACAACCCTCTCTATTTTCCTCCATACCCAAATCTCTAAAAAAGGGGCTGCAACGGATCTGATAAAAACTGATCCAGATTTGAACACTGTCCTGACGTCAGGACAGTGGCGCTACGGCTATTGGGCCAACTCCACCAATCAGGAGGAGACAGCCACAGCCATTGCCGTTCGAAAGCGCTGGAGACGCTGTAGTACATATGCCAGGCCTGTAGATGGTGCTGTTCTCACAGAATCTGCCCTTGCAAAAACAGAGCTAAAAAATGTCAAATTGAGCAAAATGAGGCATGGCTAAAATGCATGATCTGTTTGGTATTTTGAAAAAAAAAGTATAAATATGCCTTATATATGAACAAGTCAGGAGTGAAATTGTTTATCTCTAACATATTCAACTGCCTGCGTCAGCAATCTGTTCCCTCTGCCAAGGACAAGCGGCAAGAGGAATCAAAACAGGAGAAAGACACAACACATCGCGCAGAAAACCCTGAAGAAGTATCACTGCACCCGCCTGAGGAATGTTCTGATTATGGGAGACCTATGACACAAATGGAGGAGTCTCCACTGCCCGTCACCCCCCCTGTCAACGCCTTTGAGGATACTCTTCATTCATCCCCCAGCTCTCTCTACTCTCCGCTCACCCTTTCACCCTCGCCCTCCCCCCTGGAGTTCGATGACCGCATGAAGGCGAGATGCAGGGTTGGCAGCATGTCCTTTACCCCCGCCCCTCAACGACGCCCACCAAAATCACCGAAGACAAGCCTACGTCAACCACCTCCCCCCCCTGGCAGCATCTTCTTTACCCCCGCCCTTCCACAACGCCCACCAAAATCACAGAAGCAGAGACGTGCACCATCTCCCCCGTCTTCATCACCGTGCCTACGTCAACCACCTCCCATCCCTTCAAGAAAGCATCTGCAGTCTCCGAAGCCTGATAAGGATGTGTGTGTACAAAACGCAACAAACTTTTACTGATATGTGCTGGGTCCAGGCTCAAGGGCATATGGCACTCTCAACTCTTTCCAGCACATGCCGGGGCCCTGCCTGCCAGTAGCTTTGCCGATATCTGTGTTGATAGGTAATAGATTAAGAGCGGTAAATCAGCTTAGAAACAGGAAGTGCTCAAACGTTTGTGTGAGGTTATCAAATTTAGCAGTGATTCCATGTCAGCCACAGCTTGTCACAACATTTTTTACTGATAGTGTATTTAACAAACTTAAACTAGCTTTATTAAATGTCAGGTCTTTGGCAGGAAAAACATTTTTAATCAATGATTTTATCACTGAGCACAATCTCGATTTTATGTTTTTAACGGAAACTTGGATTGAACAAAATAACAGTGCAGCTGTTCTTATCGAATCAACCCCTCCCAACTTTAGTTTTATGAGTCAGGAAAGAATGCATAAGAAAGGGGGTGGAGTTGCTATTTTGTTCAATGATTCCATTCAATGCAGGAAGACATCTTATGGGGACTTTGCTTCTTTTGAATATGTGGCCCTTCAGCTGAAATGCTCCTCTCGAGCTCTGTTCCTAAATATCTATAGACCACCCAAATACTGTGCAAGCTTTTTTGATGATTTTACTGAACTGCTGTCTATAGTGTGTATTGACTTTGACCGTTTAGTCATTGTTGGTGATTTTAACATCCATGTTGACAACCCCCAGGACAGAGGGGCTAAAGAACTGTTTTGTGTTCTTGATAACTATGGACTGACTCAGCATGTGGCGGAGCCCACGCACAATAAGGGGCACACTCTGGACTTAATTATCTCAAAGGGTCTGAATATCTCAAAGGTTGTGGTGACTGATGTTGCACTCTCTGATCATTCCTGTGTTTTCTTTGAGAGCTCTATTTCTGTTCACAAAAATGTTCAGAAAGAGGTAACCACAAAGCGATATTTAACAGAAAATACTAGGGAAATGTTTACTCATAATTTTTCATCCACACTTGCCCCTGCTAACATCTCAGTAAATGAGCTAGTAGATCATTTTAATTCAAAAATTAAAAATGTTATAGATACCATTGCTCCAACTAAGGTAAAGGAAGTGATTAGCAAGAAAATATCTCCATGGAGAAAGGCCATGACCGTGAGAACAGAAAAAAGAGAGTGTCGAAAAGCTGAACGTAGGTGGCGAAAAACAAATCTCCAGGTTCACTTTGAAATCTATAAAGAGAGACTTGGCCTTTATAATTTGGAATTGAAAAACGCACGACAGTCTTTCTTCTCTGACATCATTACCAAAAACAAAAACAACGCACGTGCCTTGTTTGCTACCGTCGACAGACTAACTAACCCCCCAGTGTCAGTAGCCTCTGAATTTCTATCCACCAGGGCGTGCAATGATTTTGCCTCCTTCTTCACTGACAAAATTCAGAAAATTAGACAAGCAGTCAGTGCCTCTACATCAGGTACAGCAAATGTTTTGTCCCTATGTCCACCTAATATCAATTCAAACACCATGACACAATTCCATCAGATTAATGATAAAAACTTAGAGGACATTATTCAACTTCTGAAATCCTCCTCCTGCTGCCTTGATATTATTCCAACAGGATTTTTCAAAGATGTTTTTCCTTGCATGGCCTCAGATCTACTTCATATAGTAAACACATCTCTTCACTCAGGTATTTTTCCAGAGGCCCTGAAAACTGCAGTCATTAAACCGCTCTTAAAAAAGAATAATCTAGATGCCTCAGTAATGAACAATTACAGGCCAATATCAAACCTGCCATTTCTAGGTAAAATCATTGAAAAAGTTGTATTTCAACAGTTGAGTAACTTCTTGCATTTAAATAACTGTTTGGATGTGTTCCAGTCAGGATTTCGTCCAAACCACAGCACTGAGACTGCTCTTGTAAAGGTCTTCAATGACATCCACTTAAACACAGACAGTGGCAGAACTTCAGTGTTAGTATTATTAGATCTCAGTGCTGCGTTTGACACTGTTGACCACAACATATTACTAGACCGACTAGAAAACTGGGTGGGACTTTCGGCAACAGTTCTAAATTGGTTTGAGTCCTACTTAAAGGACAGAAAAAACTTTGTTTCTATAGGTAAATACACATCTGAGTTGACAAATATGACATGTGGGGTACCTCAAGGCTCCATCTTGGGGCCTCTTCTCTTTAACATCTACATGCTACCACTGGCTCAGATAATGAAAAACAACAAAATAAGTTACCATAGCTATGCGGATGACACACAAATTTACGTAACAATTTCACCAGGAGATTATGCTCCAATTCAAACACTGAGTAAGTGCATTGAACAAATCAATGACTGGATGTGTCAGAACTTTCTCCAATTAAACAAAGATAAAACTGAGGTAATGGTTTTTGGAGCCAAGGCAGAACGTATAAAAGTTAGCGCTGAGCTTCAGTCTGCAATGTTCAAAACAACAGATAAAGCCAGAAATCTAGGTGTAGTCATGGACTCTGACCTGAGTTTCAACAGTCACATTAAAACAGTTACTAAATCAGCCTACTATCACCTAAAGAATATATCTAGGATTAAAAGACTAATGTCACAGCAGGATTTGGAAAAACTTGTCCATGCTTTTATCTTCAGTAGACTCGACTACTGCAATGGTGTCTTTACAGGCCTCACTAAAAAATCTATTAGAAAGCTGCAGCTAATTCAGAACGCCGCTGCTCGAGTCCTCACTAACACTAAGAAAGTGGATCACATCACTCCTGTTCTGAAGTCCTTACACTGGCTTCCTGTGTGTCAAAGAATAGATTTCAAAATATTGTTGCTGGTTTATAAAGCTTTGAATGGTTTAGGCCCAAAATACATGTCTGACCTACTGCTAAATTATGAACCATCCAGAACTCTCAGGTCTTCAGGGACTGGTCAGCTTTCTGTCCCCAGAGTCAGAACTAAACATGGTAAAGCAGCATTCAGTTATTATGCTCCAAATATCTGGAACAAACTCCCAGAAACCTGCAGGTCCGCTGCAACTCTTACTACTTTTAAATCCAGGCTGAAGACTTTTCTTTTTGCCGCTGCTTTTAATTGAACTATTCACATCTTAAACTGCACTGTAACTTTTAACTTTTATCCATGTATTTTTTCTTTTAATGTTTATTTTATTATCTTTTCTTTTTAATGACTGATTTTAAATGCCATTTTTAAAATGTCTTCCATTTTTGTAAAGCACTTTGAATTACCTTGTGTTGAAAGGTGCTATATAAATAAACTTGCCTTGCCTTGCCTTGCCTTATATAGGTATGGTCCTATACTATATTATTCAAATATAGCATGATAGGTCCACTTTAAGGAAGAGTCTGTTTCTTTCTCAAAATGAATGAGGATATAGAAAGTGCTGGGAGTAAATACAACAGGAGAGGATTAGGTCCATATGTGGAATTTATTATGAGCTCTGAGAAAAAAGTCAGATTTGACTACTGACTTTATTCTCATAACTCAAAAACTGTTTGTCAGATGTCAAGAAATTGTTCACATGTGGCCCCAATCCTCTTCCGTAGGTGTCTAATAAAGCTCACATCAGTCACAGCATCACATTGTGAGGAGGCTAATGGCTCCTTCACCTTTCTTGCTTACATCACACCTATCTTCAAATACAATCTCCATTTGGTCTAAACTAAACACGCTTGGTTGGTGACTGCATCTTGCATGGTTACCTCTGTGACAAAATCTGTCTGCACACAAACAGACAGAAATATAAACGCCTTGCAAGGTACTGAAACCCTCCTTTCCTTACCTGCTACAGACACATTCTCACAAAGAAAAACACTATACAAGCGTCATGGCTGGTACATATTTAGTCAATGTTTTGACAGCTTTTTGAAATCCCTATTCACAACTCTGTCCATTGACCTTGCTCGACCTGTCTTGTTTTGTCTAGTTTGAGCGGGACGTAATGATCTGGAACAATAAGAAGTACATTTCCAAACCTCTCCTCGTGAAGGAGGACTCAGCCATCCTGAAGCACAGGCGCTGGTTCAGTCAGTTCTACAGCGAGAACAGCCCGCGGCTGCAACACCAGCGCAACACTTTGGACTTTTGACCCTCCTGAACCACAGGAGGAGAGATCAGCGGAGAAGATGTCAGGTCAGACCAGGGTTGACATTAATCAGAGGTGTCAGGGGAGGGTGGCTTGGATTGGATGTTTTAACTGTCACATGTAATAAATGAAAGGAGAATGGACCTGTTTGTGGGCTCTTCTGAAAGCCTGCACCTTAAATTACCCTTCTTTTTTCTAGTGTTACTGAAGTTGCTTATATAAATCTACAGCTTTATACACAAGTGCCTACAGCTGTCATGTCCCCTGGTCGGACTGGTATGAATATAATATTATATTTAATGTAATAAGTGACTGAACCTACAAAGTAATAATAATACTGAAATCACCACAATTGCCTCGTTTATAACTGTGATTAAACCATTGGGTTGTCGGAGCCATTTTACCCTGTAAAATGTGAATTATTACCTAAACTGTGATTCATTTACATGTTTAACTAGAAACTATATAAGTTACTTTTTAAGCTGTTTTCTTCTGAATGTTTTATATGGGTTAATATAAACCTTGAGTTTGAGTTTAGCGGAAACTGCTGTTATGTGATTGTATATGTTTGTTTCTCACTTTGGCTTTATCATCTTCGGCTGCAGGTAAAATGTCATGTTTGTTTGTTCTTTTGTTGATATCTCAGGTTACTCAACAGTCAGCTGATAGTGATTATTTTAGAAAAAGCAGTATGATGACAAATGCATGGCTTTTCCTTCAATGTCCATTCCTCATCTCTCATAACAATCTTTAGGATTCAGGGTCGTAAGGACCATTAATTAAACATGATTATGAGTGAACTTTAAGTTGATAGATGTGGATTTTACATTAAAGGGGACCTATCATGCAAAATGCACTTTTGTACGTCTTTTATACATGAATATGTGTCCCCGGTGTTCCAGGGAACTCACCAAGTGTCAGAAAACACAACCCTCTCTATTTTCCTCCATACCCAAATCTCTAAAAAAGGGGCTGCAACGGATCTGATAAAAACTGATCCAGATTTGAACACTGTCCTGACGTCAGGACGGTGGCGCTACGGCTATTGGGCCAACTCCTCCAATCAGGAGGAGACATCCACGGCCATTGCCGTTCGAAAGCGCTGGAGACGCTGTAGTACATATGCCAGGCCTGTAGGTGGTGCTGTTCTCACTGAATCTGCCCTTGCAAATCCAGAGCTAAAAAATGTCAAATTGAGCAAAATGAGGCATGGCTAAAATGCATGATCTGTTTGGTATTTTGAAAAAAAAAAAGTATAAATATGCCTTATATAGGTATGGTCCTACACTATATTATTCAAATATAGCATGATAGGTCCACTTTAAATTACATTAGTTCGACAACAACCACAGGTGACCCGAGCCCGGTTGAGCTAGATGCAACAGACTGCTTAACAGGACTTGTTTTAACCAAAAATGTTACAATTCATTTTTATAAAGTAAAAACAGGCTTTTTAGAAGTTGTAAACCAAAAAGACGAGTGGCAGCAACTCCCAGACCGGACAACACTGTATCATACGGACCTGGATTTTCTTAATTTTACTAAAACGACATGATAATGCTTTGGACAAGACTTGAAACAAGCGATTTAGATCATTCACTCATAGGGAAAATGTTTACTGAGGTAATAAATCAAGTGATAAATAAGCAAATTTTCTCATAGACTTCTATACAATCTGACTTCCCAGGGGATTAGCCCCCTGCTGGACATTAGAAGAAATGCAGGTTTAATGCACTTCCACATAGGCTTCACATTTCATACCATGATCTTGCTTTCTGGGCACAACTGGCGACAAACGATGAAGAAGTCCTTTTATTATGACAGATAATACTTTCTGTTCATAAATTATAACAAACAAGAGTAGCATTAAAATAAATGACCTTTTACTGTAATTTTAACAAAATGTAAGAGAATAAAAACGTGCTATATGTGCAATCATTTTACTTAAAATGTTTTATTTATATGTGTCTTTATTGACAACTGCACAACAAAAACCCTTTATTTAAAATGAAGATGTGATCATTCATGTTCCTCTTAACGCAGTGATTGTGTATTATAACATGATTGTTTCCATCACTGCTCTAGAAGATCTATACAAGACATCAATATGTATATATCCATGTGTTTACTCCAAGCTCACACTGATGACTCCATACTTAATCAGTGATGACTGCAATGCTTCAAATGCTTTGCTTTATTGAACAATAATAGTGTGCAATAATCTTCAGTTGCCATGGGTAATAGCGCTGATGATGTTGCTCATCATTACACTTTAATTTCCGAAAGAGAAGAAGCATTACAAAGCAAATAACCAGCAATGTAAAAGAAACTCACTTGATATAAATGTGAGATGAACTATGTTCCCTCTGAATATTAAAATGTATTTTTGTCACTGGCTGATCATGTTGTGCAGTTTATTTAAATATGCAGAATAAATCTGTCGGCTTTTCCCTAATGTGTTTTGCTCGTGCATTTCTCAACTCCAGACCTTTTCATTTCGCTGACTACGATAGTGTGTTAAATTAAGCATAATAAGGAAAGGTTTTTGTATTACTTATCCAGTGGCACTTTTGTGAGGCTTGTATTTTATGCTAAGCACTCTTTATCTGTGAATGTGCTTATCTTATCTGGGTTTATGGTGGCAGAGAACTCTGTGTGCCTTTGTTATAATGAAGCATTACATCAACATTTGGCTCCCTTGAGCTTTTTCCAGGAGGAAAGCAGACTTGGTGTAACGAGGAAACATTGAGAGTGCGTTGGGACTGTGTTAAAAGCTAAAGAGAATTGTTAAGTAAAGGATGGCTGAGGCAGAAGTCCTTGAAACCCAGGAGGAAGGCGTTGTTACACTCAAAGAAAGGCACCTGGGAGCTACAGAAGAGACTTATTCTGGAGTTTTCTACACCACGAGGGACAGGCAGGAGGACGAGAGCGAGTCGGTCATTCAGCCTCTGTTGCCGCACGAACAGCAGAATCACAAAACAGACACGCAAAGGGCTCCAGATGGGGCTGACCCAAAGACAGCTGCTCTACAAGAGCTGGATCTGGCTGGCAGGCGTGAGCCCAGCTGCAGTGGAAGTGTCAGGAGTGTGTGCAGTGACAGCAGTCGGCACGAGTGCCCCATCTGCAGCGAGCCGTTCGACCCTCACTGTGTTACCTTTCTCAACTGCAACCACGCATTGTGCCACCACTGCACAACCGGCATCATGACACGGGCGAAGGACCAGAGCCGGCTGCAGTGCCCCTTCTGCCGCCAGACCACCCCCTTCCCCCAGTGGGAGATCAGGAGACTGCAGGAGGAGTCGTACATTAGCAGCGTTTATGAGCCAGGACCGGCCCTCACTGGGACTCCTGGCCCTGAACTTCAGGCTGTGTTTGCTGCGGACACACACAGAAACACACGGGGATGCTGCAGCAGGGGATTGATGCGACCAAACTCTCTTTGTTTGTCCATCTCTGGATCGCTGCTGCTCTTCCTGCTGCTGCTGGGCTGCTTCCTGTTCCATCATGTTGTAATGATGCCTTTACTCTTAAACTAGATTATAATTTCATGTAATCTCAGGTGTCTGACTTCTGCAAAATTGTTCAGAAATGAACTGCTTGTTAACTATTTTGATACCACTTGAAAGGGCAATAAGACACATCCACCAAGAACCAATGCCATATCTTCCAACCTAAACTGAAGCAAAAAAGGATTTGCGTATTCAGCCAGTGTTTTGGGTCTGCTGAAACCTGTATTGGGCTCTTTCTTGACCCATGCCTCAGGTTTCATGAAAATGGTGCTACAGTAATATGTTTCCATAATTTGCTTGGTGGTGGTAAATAGAAGGGCAATTGGAGAGCCTCGACGTAAGCGAAGGCCAATGCGCTATCACCCAATGTTATCAAAAGCTACAAATAATTTCTCATGAGGAGTGTATCCGCCTAATGTTCAGAGTCTGCAACAAAATGTAATGGGTTCTTCTGTAGCTGATGCTACACCCTTCTAGAATTATAGTAGTGTTAAGGAATAATTCTTCTAGATATCTAACCTTTTGCTCTGTGACGTTTTATGATCTACTCTGACGTCTGTTATCTCCTTTAAGGAAAGGCATTGGTGCCATATGTGTTGTCACCAGTTTGTGACCGGTCAACTTGTCTGGCACGAATGGTAATTGTTGTGAGAACGGCACGCTGAGGCACTTCCTTATCGGTGTTTGTGGACTCTAAGATGTGAAATCCTTGAGGCCATGAGTGTCGGACGCAGGTGGCTCAGTGTTCCCAGCTGTTTAGTCTACTCCTTCAGAGATGTTGATTTCTCTCTGTGAACCCGTTAAAAGGTCTAGCATAGAGAGAGGCTCTTCAGAATTGACGTGGCAACTCTACCGTGTAGTCAGAACCTCTGACTCTTTGATTTGTGATGTGAATCCTCCGGCCGAATACTCTGAATAAACCCATCAGTGTTTGACATCAAAGCTCCAACTCTCACATTGCTACACAGAAGTTTCCTCCACAAGTAGTTTTGCCATAATCCTGCTGACAGACCGGAAACATAACCTCCTTGGCTGAGTCAAAACTTGACTGAGGTGGGGAAATACAAAGATCTGCATGGTTGGCACACTGAACAGCGTATACTGAATAGCTTGGAAGAATCCATTTATCCTCAAATGTATACTCTTCAGTGTAAAATGTCAATTATACTTCCATTGTTTTTTCAACATGATTTATACCCTGTTTTAAACATGATACCTGATTATTCCAGACACACCTTTGTATAGCGATCTTTGAATGTAGATATTATAATTAGAAAAAATTCAGATTTAGTAAAAAGCTAGCTTTTGCTGGTGAACATGAAGAACATGACCTGGCGGTTTCTATAAGGTTAAATAATATGTGTATTCACCATGTTTTTCAGATCCCTTCCATCATTTAATAGGTTCTTCCTTTCGCCTACGCTACCCTCTTTCTCCAAGTTTCATGACATTTGGGTTGAGTTTTATGATTAATCATGCTGACAGATAACGAAA